TCTCACTGTTGTGGCCTCTCCCGTTGTGGAGCACAGGCTCCGGACGCGCAGGCTCAGCGGCCATAGCTCATGCGCCCAGCCACTCTGCGGCATGTGGGATCTTCCCAGACTGGGGCACGAACCCGTGTCCCCTGCATCGGCAGGCGGACTCTCAACCACTGCGCCACCAGGGAAACCCGCATAGCTGTATCTCTTAACGAAGCATCAAGCAGTAAGTGGCTGCTGCAGGAGGACAGATGGGGGCTACGTGGCTGGGGAGTCTGGTGAAGGTTCTGAGGGAGACCCTTGTGTACCTTGGGAATTTTGTATCATGTACATGTACTATCTAGCCAGAAACAATAATAATATTAAAAAATATTCAGTTTTACTCATTATGTTTGTTTATGTCCACTGGCTTTGAAATTAGGATTTAAGGAAGTTTACACATGTATATACAATAAATTAAGATAATATGAATTACATACATCTCCAGGAGTTCTTTACTCAATACCAGAACAAAGAAATCACTCCTAGTATTTACCACAGTGGAACTTTATTCTAGGTAATTGGTTATGTAGGTGCTGTGAGAGTAGAGAAGTTTCAGAGTGGACAGAGAGGCAATGCAGAACTAAACAACAGCAGGAAATTGTTGCTACCTGTGTGCTCAAGGGACAAAGTGAGGCAGTGGTATTACTGGACTTTGGGATACAGAAGTTGGGACCCTGGTAGGAATTAAAGCCAGAGGAGACAGAAAGAAAGGGGTAGAAATACCCCTCTTTTTCCTTCCTCCCACCTCTTGTCTCTCACCGCTGCTTTCCATTGGCTGAGCTGAAGCCAGCTGGCCCAGGAGCCTTGGAAACACAGCCTGAAAGTGTCAGCTCCCTTGATACAGAGTAGAGATGGGGAAAAGCCAGAAATGAATCTGAGGGCAAATAATGCAGGATGGGAACAATGAACAAAAATGTTGCAATGGGAAAACCATGGCTGGGAAATAAGACGGAGCCAAGAATGAGACCGAACCCCAGCATTCAGCCTTGATTGCACGTTGTGCAGTCTCACTGTGCTGCATCACAGGCTGTGTTCGCTGCAGGTGCGAGCTTTCCAGGGTGCTGTCAGGCCTCATTTGTGATTCTTCCCCTAGCCCCGGCTTACACAATGCCAGCCTGCTGTGACATGAGCAGTTAATAAATGTTGGTTGAAAAGAATGAATGAGCAAGTGAATTTCAAGCAGAGTGAGAAAGATGAAGTCAGGGACACAACACCAGGGAAACTGGATATTCTTGCTCTTTGTGGTTTATGCTTTTGGGACAAAGTGTTTTTAGTTTGAACTGTGCTATTTAGTAAGTTTACTGTTTGGGACTTTCATCTTCCTGTTTTGCAACCATTTCCGTTAGACGCTCAGTAATTGTTTTTTCACAGATTATAGGTTTGGATTGATGAATATAATAACAGTTTTATTCCAGCCTAATAAGGAAAACCTTGTCAATATAAACTCTCGAAATCATATTTACCTTTTACTTAAATGGAGCTTGTTTGTATTAATGATTGTAGCTCATATGGTGCTATAGCTCACGTAATAGGGACATGATAATTTTCAAAAAGATTAAGAACGTTTTTAGGCCGTACTGAAAATATTTTGTTGTCTTGATAATGGTATTTCCTGGTGTCTGGAGGAAAGGTGAGCAATTCCTTCTAATGAATAGCAATAGAAATCAAAATAATTATGCTTTTCTGTTTTTCCCTTCAGAAAACCTAACTGAAAATAAAGACATAACTTGCTATTTTTAAGGTTTCATTAGTCCAGCAAAATAAATGTGTTTCTTTTACTGCTTTCATGTAATTTCATTTCACTTGATCACATTTAGGCTGCAGATCAAATTAAGAAGCTGTATAATCTCTTCCTGAAAATCGATGCTACTCAGGTGGAAGTGAATCCCTTTGGTGAAACTCCAGAAGGACAAGGTAAAAAAAAAAGAGAGAGAGAAAACAAATTAATGTAATTATTTATGCAAACTATAAATTGTACAAAAAGACTGTAGCAGCAGCCTTGCATTAATTTCCTTCAGTAATTTAATTTCTGCCATAGTTTCAAATGCTCCCATGATGCAGTTAAAGATTTCAGCCCTTGAGTTTGTTTGTAGCCAAATAAATGCCAAGCCTCCAGGAAAGTTACTTCTTGTTTTATTTAGAAACATCCATCCATCATCACCCCCTAGTTTTCATGTCCCTTACTGCTGCTACAATGGTAAAGATTTAGGTTCGATCAGGAGTCACAGCACTTGGGTGTAATGAATGCACCTGCTTTTATGGAACTGAAACTGTTTGAAGCTTTTTAGGTTACCTAAATCTGCATGTAATTTCACCTTGTGTC